AGGAGAGTGAAGAGTCTAAAGAGGAGAGGGGGGACGTTGTGATTTAACCCTTTACTGATCCCCGTTGGGACTCAACCCAAGGTATCTCAATCCCCACGCTGCCATAAGGATATCAGGGGGAGGGGAGGAGACAGAAGGCATTAGTGTCAGATTAAAAGAAAAAAAGCGCTCTCACTTTATTTATCACCCACCCAGTGGTGCATACACACACACACACACACACACACACACACACACACACACACACACACACACACACACACACACACACCCACACACACACTGGTGGTACACTGACCTGAGGTTGTGAGAGCCTCTGTTGACCGTATCAGCTAGCTCCCCCAAGGAAATAGCTCCTTCGATTTGATAGAGATGCAGGGGGAAACCATCATATTAAAGGGGCATTTCAAAGCATTTTGCATGATCATGAGACTTTGCCAGGAAGGAAACAAAGGCTTGCCAGTGGGATAGCAATGAGGCCTATTTGCAAAATATGATATTCTGAGACCATATTAACGATGGATATCAAAAAATGTATTTGAGTAAAATTTCCCCTTAATGTGGTGCCATTTCAGTTTTAATAAACTACTGTGGGTATACTATCATTGATCAGCAGAAGGGGACATACTCTGAGGGGTCAGACGGTTGGCCTCTTAACAGATGTGAGTTTCTTGGCTCACCATTCGTCAGCCATATGGAAATGTCACAGAGCAATAATAAAAAATTATCATCTCCGTCTCTCAGGCCTGTGGTGGAAAATGCCACATTTACATATGAACACAAAGGGCCAGACTCTTCGCATCAGGAGCAGATGCTCTCTCAACCTCTGATCACACTACAGAAGGAGAGAGAGCAAGAGAGAGAGAGAGAGAGAGAGAGAGAGAGAGAGAGAGAGAGAGAGAGAGAGAGAGAGAGAGAGAGAGAGAAAGAGAAGAGAGAAGACTAGGTAATGTGAAGATATGTCATGTGCATTTTTTCAAACATCTCATTTAGTAGATTATTGACCTCGCAGATTGGCAGATTAGCAGAATATTTTCCCCTTCATCTTCCTCTTTTTCTTCCTGTTAAAAGCAGGGGATGCACAGCCTGAAAGACGTACCACAGGCTTTTATTTGAACAGGAACAGTAAATCAGGTGGATGGACAGGGAGGAGGAGGTAACAGCAGGGAATGAATGGCTAATGGGTGTCATGGCAGACATACTGTCGACACACAACCTCTGATCAGTCCTCAGAGGATTGGGATGATAGGGGGGAGGAAAAAAGGGGGGAGGAAGGAGTGGTGGGTGTGGAGAGGGGATGGGGAAGGGAGTGAAGATACAGGGATGGGGTTGGGGTAGAAGAGAGGAAGGATTAGGATAGGGAAGAGATGGACAGGGGAAAACGGGGGGAAGGTCGGGGTTATGCAGTCGACACTGGAGGATTGAGAAAGGGGGATGACGGAAAGGAGACGGAGGGAGGGAAAGGTTGTAGGTTTAATGTGGGCAGCTGCTGTTTCGGTGGTAACGATCACCAATAAACACACAGATAATATGATTCTGTTGCCATGAACATTTTAAATTTTTAGTCATTTAGCAGACGCTCTTATCCAGTGAGTGCATACATTCTTTTTTTAGGGGCTCGTGGTAATGACTGGAACCAGTAGAATGGTATCAAATACATCAAACACATGGTTTCCAGGTGTTTGATGCCATTCCATTTGCTCTGTTCCGGACATTATTATGAGCCGTTCTCCCCTCAGCAGCCTCCGCTGGTGCTAGCACATTTCATGCTTTTATTTCACATTGGGACAGTAATGATCCTGTTTGTTATTTTCTCATCTGTATGATTGCCTTTTAATCACTAGGTGGCAGTAAAGGCTAGAATACAAATCTATCATCCACACTGTATGATGAGATGACAGTCTACAAATGGCTATTACCATCTATAAGATACTGTATAAGGATTAGAGGACAATAGCCACCTTTTTGGGTTAAAGTTATGATTGTTTTCGTTCATTCATATCCACATAAGAATACTTGCTGGTCCAATTGCTGGTGAGGGAAGTTTTCCTTTTAAGACCATCCATTTAGTTCTCTCTATGCATCCAGGAAGATTTTAATAGCTGTTAGATCAACTGCTACAATTACTGAGAAAGCATCCATGAAATAATTACGCCCAATGAATTTACCATCCAGTAGAGAGAGAGAGAAGGCAAAGTGAACAGAAGGCAAAGTGTCCTTGCCAAACGGAGAAGTGGTCCAAGAGCCACCCACCAGACGTCCTTGCTTCCTGACACCAGTGTAGTGTAGTGTGTGTGTATGTGTGTGATGGCACACCAGATGGTCTGTGTGTTCGCTCCCAATTACACCCATACATACAGTGCATGACCATAATGGAAACGGAAGGGTCAACAAGTGAACGCCAACAGATATAGCTGAACTGTCACGTTTCATCAGGACTCTCTCTTTCTCTATCTCTCTTCTCACACCTTATCTCTCTCCCTGTCTGTGTATGACTCTTTCTCTCTCTCTTACTCCCTCTCGTTCCCTCTCTCTCTCTCCCCTTCCGCTCTCCTCTTCCTGTCTCTCTCCTCCTCTCTCAGCCCCCCGCATCTCTCTGATTCAGAGGGGTTGGGTTAAATGCGGAAGACACATTTCGGTTGAATCCACTCAGTTGCGCAACTGACTAGGTTTCCCCTTTTCCTTCCCTGTCTCTCTCTCCAGTTTAGTGTGAGGCTAGCAGCATACTTCAGACTCTACGGTTGACTTAATACTTTCACTGCATTGCATAAGTTGCCCGCATCCTTTAGCTCGCAGCATGGGGTGGTGTTGTCTCACACTGTGCTACCCTGGGATATGTGTGTATTTGGAGCGACTACTCCTACCTGTTCCTGTTCCCGTTCCTGTCAGGGAGTGTCTGGGCCCTGAGGGGGCTTGTAAACTGACGTGTGTTTTAATTTCACCCAAGTTCCCTCATCTAGCCCTTCATCCAAAAACATGTCCCAGGTATAAGCACCCCAAAATGCACTCCTCTCACACATGCTCACAGACCTCCATCCCCCAGTACATAGAGTGCAGTGGAATCAGAAGTGATGAGAGATCCAGAGCGAGAGATCCAGCACGTACCCCTCACCAACCCACACACCTTATCTCCCAGTTCTGTGAAGGTGTGAAATCATCGTCATTGAAATCCTCATTGATGCTTATTCCCATTGCCATGGAGTTGGTCTGTGGTGGAGCAAAACACACTGCTACTATGACACTTTATCGTAGTGTAATATAATATAATGTTTATGGAGCCATTTTGTAGCACTTACTGTATCATGCCTTCATAAGATTGGTTTTATCATAGAATTTGCAACGCTGCATTTGCTTCCATTGCATTGCTGTTTAAGAACAGTCCAAATATTAAAAGAGTCAGAATGAAGTTTTACAAAGATAGAATGGACATCAAAGCAGATCATTATATTTTATTCATTCATTATATTTCACGTTGCTTGGAAATTCTTTCTTTCACTAAGTGGAGAAACTTAAATAGAAATGAAAAGAGAAATAAATTGTTAGTAAAAACCTTGAAACTGTTTTAGAATAAGAACACAAAACACTTTTCAATACTGTCACAAAGTGGAAGAGTTTGGCAGACCTTGTGCTGCTCATATAACCAACATAAACCAAAATACCAGAATGATACAGTACATCGAGGGGTACTTATCTTACACTCCAAAGTCCATTTACATCTGAAAGTTTCCAGAGCACTGTATGGTTTCATTTAGTTCAAAAAAGTGACATTTCAGAAACACACAACTATATAGCTGACAAATGAAAACCATCAAAATTTGAACTCATGAGCAACTTCTTGTCCTGTTAGTTACAATAATGTACAATGTTCACAGCAAAGAAAAAACTAATACAAACAAAAAATGTATATATATTCTATAGAAGTAGTCTATATTGAACACAGCTCTCTCAACAAGTCAAACCTTCTCATGCACAGTTCTGCCTCTGAGGCTCTTAAAGGGAAAGTCCATCGAATTTTGTAATTAACTATCCCTTTAAGCTCCTCTAGCAGTGGTTTTCTGTACAGTCAATTAGAGTATATATTTACAAATTCAACAACTAATCATTTTTTTTTATATATACGTAAAACTTGATGCAAGTTAAGAAAAAAAAATCTTGATCCCATCCTTTTCACGTCAAAGGCCGTCAAATGTAGTTAGTATAAGTGACTAGCATGAATATTATCCCCTCAACACGCACGCACGCACGCACACACACCGCAGAAATATGATCAAAAACTTAGTAGATGACCCAAACCTTTGAAAAAATGTATAGAGCTTTGACCGTGTCCAATATGGCAACCCTAAGCCGCTTATCTGAGGGAGAAGCATTTTGAAGCTTTTCAAAAGATGACTATATGAATTATTCCTTCATTTATGGAGTCCTCCATCCTTCCATCCTTCCTAGCTGAACCCATCATCCCCAGAGTGTGACTTCACGGTGCTATTGCTTTATGGGCGTTCCATTCACTGAACTCTGGGTAAAACTGTCTTTTTGTGAATTAATCTAAACTGAACTGAATCAGAGTTCTGTATTAAAAGGCACAGTACTGCTGAAGGCCACCCAGCACCACAAATAAACGCAACATTTTTTTAAAGAAAAGCAAAAGAAAAGCTGGAGTTGGATGTCAGTACATGCACTTTGGGTCTCACAGAAAGAGCCATAAGGTCACCGTCAGGTCATGTGATGTGCAACCACAGGAAGTAAGGTCACATGCAGGTCAAAGGTTATGATGATGTCATGATAGCATGCAGCGCTTCAGCAGTTGCAGTGATCAAAAGAAAGGTGACGTGAGGACCAGTGGAGGCTGGTGGCTTCCTGGTGTTTGATACCGTTCCGTTAATTTAATTTGAGCTATTACGATGAGCCTCCGATTTAAAGTGACACCAGCATCCCCTGGCGAGGGCGTGGATGCAGCGACTGATGTAACTTGATTGAGCCTGCTTGGAGTCTGAAGTGTAGATTCACTGTACATAATCCTGCACTGTAAATTCAACTGTATGTACTGTACAAACAGCCCCCATCTTGCAAAAAGACATAGAATAATAGTCATACATTTAGTAACACGTTTCACCACCATGTCGTCAAAGACACTGATGCCTCTTTATGGCTGCCCTGAAGGGCAAAGTACCTCTAACATACACAATAATATCAATATAATGATTGACCGGAAAAACAATATGGCAAACACAAATAATTCAAATGTGTACCACATAGTAGTCCAAGATAGCTAGACAATAGCTTCAATGTAATAATATACTAATTTGTGTTAATATATGGTTGTACATAATTTCAGGAAGATGTCCGGTTCTAAGTGTCGCTACTAAATCAATAGGCTACAGAGAATAAAACAGTTGGAACAGTCTCCACAATCCATCCACAAATTCAATGATTTCCAAATGATAACGTACAATCCTCTAGTAGTATCCTGCAGCATTGCGTTAGTGTAGAGAATCTCACACGTGTCTCTTATGTGTCTCTTAATAAGTCTCCTGTGTTTGTGACTGTAGTGTGCGGATGGGAGGGGCATGTGATGACACAAGGTGATTTGAGGAACAGCCCTGTGAAAATGGCGAATGGAACAGTCACTGGAGCGCCCCTACAGGTCTGGATGTCCAAATGTATGGCTACACAAACCTATGGGCCTGGCTGTCTAGCCAGCTGGCTACAAAGGAGTTCCGTTTACTGCAGCACCACCTACTGGCCAGGCTGCCTATCCCTCCACCTGGCTGACCTACTGACCAACCAGCTGGCTACACAAAGGAGTTCATAGCGGAGGTATTAACAGGGGACGGGGCCTCAGAGCTTTCGTGACCCCCAGCAGTGTCCCTGGCGGAGCTCTTTCCGCTATACTGTCCGATAAAAGACCCATCCTCGTTGAACTGGCCGTCTCCACCATCGCCACCGTAGTCAACTAAACTGTCGTCACTGTTGTCCCTGTGCACCGTCCCGTTAGACGGTGTGCGGCTCCCTTTTAACGGCTTATGGTCCTCAGTGTCACTAGGAGAAAACGACATGCAGGTGAAATGATGATAGAATGACGTAAACAAGGAGTTTAGTGTATGGCCTTTTTTTAGATGGAGCGCTGAAGTATTTCCAATTACTTTTACTACCATTACCCAAGTATTGGAAAGAAAGATAGCCTAAGGCCTGGATTCAAATGTGTCTAATTCTAGAAAAAGAGTTAAACATATATTACTTCACATCTTATGAAAATATTAGTTTATATCCTGAATTGGGTTGAAATTTGGACTCAGAAGGCTACTTCTGACAGTGGATGTTAACAGTATCAGAATGTTTATTTGATCTTGCCCCAAGTCTAAAAAAAAATGATGTGAGCGATGTGTTGGTTTTCATCACACACCAGGGGAATACAGGCAAAATCATCCACATTCCAAATTCCCCCTGAAACCATGACATGAGGTGGAAAATAATACATATGTGCTGTATTGCTAGACATAAATGTTTCTCCCCAACAAAGGTTGCAATGAAAAACTGAAAATCCAAAGATTGTCAGCCAAAGCAGAAATAACAAATAATCACAATTTTGCAAACAAATGAAGAAACTGCAAAGAAAGCTTTCTTTGAGGATTAACATTAGTTAGTCAACATTCAAATCGATGTCAGATGATGATTCATGATAGTGAATAGCAGGTGGACTCTCTTTCATAAAGCCTTCATAATGCTATCGCTCTTTTATTACACCTGTTATAGCCATTCATAACAGGTTATGTCAGCTAATAAAGCATTACTTAACAACACTCCAACGTCATCAGGATGCTATCTTGCCACAGATGAATGACTGAAAGCACTGCATTGGACACCAAAAGTCCTATGATGATAAATGATGATACCACTATGTAGGCTTTATGACAGTTCGTGACAGTTTATAGCACAGATAAGGACAGTGGTGTACTCTGGGGTGGTTTTACAGCAGGCCTTTTTCTCCAAGTGGCAGTAAGTACTGTTTATCAGACAGATATCACAGTCTAGCAGCCCTTCGGTCACTCCTCTCATGCCAGTCTTGCAGTACCCACTCCTTACCTTGCCTGACACCTACATGCCCCAATAAACAGAGTGCAGGAGGAACAGATAAAGTGATCAGACAGAGAGAGATAATCACTAACGCCTCACCAGCGTGCACACACTCGCACACACAAGAATCTACGCACACATGCACACACACACACACACACACAGGATCACTTGATATGCTATGAGTATAAATATAATCTTTCATGGCAGAATTGACAGTCTTTTACTAAGTTTTAAAATGGGAATAATGTATTCAACTGCAGACAGAACAAGTACTGCAGTGCAGATGAGACAAGCCTGCATTTGTGTATTGTATGGTTGGTAACCCATCAGTGTTTTCATGTGGGTTTTACTGTGTCCCTTCTGTGTATAAGCATACAGCACCCACACATCCATCCAAACATAGCAGTATGTATCTTTCTTTAACATCACATTTCACCCCTGTAAGTGTAGACACTGGCGTTCAAGGTCAATAGTTACATCATAGATACAGTACAGGACTTATGCAAGCCTGCAGTCAAACCAGAACAGCTCAGTGGAGTTAGATTAGTATTTATTGACATAAAGCTCCATGGTTGGAATAATGGCATGGATGGAAAGTTTTATATCTCTTCACAAAGGCACTCTATATCATACATTTAGACTTGTGATATATTGTCTAATACTTGTTATTTGAACAATATAAACTGTTATATTGTCTATTATTTTGCTATTTGAATGTTTTTTAAAAAAACAGATTTAGCTTATTAGGGTGTCTCTCATGTTATGATCATAAACTAGATAGAGTTATGATGTGGACAGAATAAGAATAGCCTTTTGCCTTGTTTAATCTTTAAATAACATCTTTCAGCACTAGAATGTACAGTACACTCAGGGCTGGCCTTTTAACTCCAACATGCTGATAGCTTCATACTGGATTACTTATACTGTACATATCTATGATTTCATCCAAGACATTATTGCCTACAGCGAGTTTTATATACGATCTTCATTACGCCATGCATATCACACAACATTATATATCCATCATTCTATATACACTACATGGCCAAAAGTATGTGGACAACTCTTCAAATTAGTGGATTCGGCTATTTCAGCCACATCCGTTGCTGACAGGTGTATAAAATATTGGTGGAGGAGGGAAAATGGTCTGGGGCTACAGCATACGATGGCATTCTAGATGATTCTGTGCTTCCAACTTTGTGGTTACAGTTTGGGGAAGGACCTTTCCAGTTTCAGCATGACAATGCCCCTGTGAACAAAGCGAGGTCCATACAGAAATGGTTTGTCGAGATCAGTGTGGAAGAACTTGACTGGCCTGCACAGAGCCCTGACCTCAACCCCATTGAACACCATTGGGATGAATTGGAACGTCGACTGCGAGCCAGGCCTAATCGCCCAACATCAGTGCCTGACTTCACTAATGCTCCTGTGGCTGAATGGAAGTCCCTGCAGCAATGTTCCAACATCTAGTGGAAAGCCTTCCCAGACGAGCAGGTGTCCACATACTTTTGGTTGTGTAGTGTATTTATTTGTTACATGATAGATAGAATGTATATTATAGAACATATTTATGTTTAAATACATGATACAAAAAGTAATAATATCAAATATAAGAAGAAAAAAAAAAACATATAAATTGGAAAAAAGCTGGACCAGTACAAAATAATGATGCTATACATAATAAGTAAAGTGCTTCATTTTTCTTAATATCTGCGTTGGAAAAGCAAGCAGGCTAGAAAACAGTTAGAAGACGCTATAGCAAGCATAACTAGATTACTGCAGTTAGTTAGTCAGAGCTTATATCAACTGGGATGAGTATCCTTACGGTACAGTATGCTTATGTATGCAAATATTAATTTATTAAGTATGTACGCACAGTATATTGCATAATACAAAAGCTACTGTATATTTATATGCATAATGTATTCGTTACAAGGTATCAATGTTGTTATAAATGAGAACTTAGTGGGACAGGTATCTATGCATGCCAGCTTGGAATACTGCAAATTAATTTTATAAAATATTCCTGACAGTTCTAGGGGAAACTTTTAAATGTCCCCGAAAAACCTAAACCCCTAAAACTTAGACCTGAATAATACTGTATATCCTGCTTATCGAATGATGCAACACAGTCAAACACACTACAATATCAATCTGGCGACTGGCGGGCACACAAGCCACCAACACACTAAGCAGAGAAGAATCCCTCCCCGTCCCTGTCCCAACCTCTTCCATAAGAAGAGGCTTGTGCTTTACAGGTCTGCACTGCCAGAATCCCTGTTAGAACGATGGTGGTCCCGCGGCAGGTGGAGGTCAGCTGTAAGGATGAGGAGGCCAGAGCTCCTGCCTTGCTGAGAAGAACCAGGTCTGGGGAGTGAGCAGGGGCTTGGTGGGGTGGTTGGGGGGGGGGGGGGGGGGGGCTTTTGGTTTGGGTTAGGACAGGGAAGAATTGGGGCCCCACAGGCTCCAGGAGAGTCATGTTTCTCACCTGTATTCCCCGAAATTACAGTCATCCTCTTTCATGGGCTGGAACTCTGGGTCCGTGTGTGCGTCCTCCTTTTCTTTCACTGTGGGAAGAGATTAATCAAATGTGTCTTCTACTATGGCCTAAGATGGGTGATGGATCTGGGTGATGGGTGGTGGATATGGAGGCGACAGCATGTGTACGTGTATGTGTGTGCTTGCTTGCATGTGTGTATACATGCGTGCGTATGTGTCCAAACCAAAAGTACCGACCTGGGTATTTTCCTCCCTTGTTTCTCTGTATGAAGCAGATGATGAGGAGGACGAGGATGAGGAGAGCGATGGCACACATCAGGCCGATGAACCAGCCCTGAGTAGCGATGTCCACCTGTCGGGCTGCCATAGCTGGTCAGGCACAGAGGGAAGAAATTAAATATCAGAAAACTGTTAATGACTGGCCTGTTGCTTTAAATGAGGAAGGTAATATAGGAAACATATAGTTCCTGTACTGTAGTATAATGAAAATGTAATGGACAATAAAGTTTTGTTATCTTAACTTCTCAGTGTTTATCAGACATCCACTATTGTAATCACAGCTATAGTGCCTTGCAAAATTATTCATCCCCCTTGGCGTTTTTCCTATTTTGTTGCATTACAACCTGCAATTTAAATGGATTTTTATTTGAATTTCATGTAAAGGACATACACAAAATAGTCCAAATTGGTGACGTGAAATGAAAATAATTACTTGTTTCAAAAATTCAAAAAAATAATGAACGGAAAAGTGGTGCATGCATATGTATTCACCCCCTTTGCTATGAAGCCCCTAAATAAGATCTGGTGCAACCAATTACCTTCAGAAGTCACATAATTAGTTAAATAAAGTCCACCTGTGTGCAATCTAAGTGTCACATGATCTGTCACATGATCTCAGTATATATACACCTGTTCTGAAAGGCCCCAGAGTCTGCAACACCACTAAGCAAGGGGCACCACCAAGCAAGCGGCACCATGAAGACCAAGGGGCTCTCCAAACAGGTCAGGGACAAAGTTGTGGAGAAGTACAGATCAGGGATGGGTTATAAAAAAAATATCCCACAGAGCACCATTAAATCCATTATTAAAAAATTGAAAGAATATGGCACCACAACAACCCTGCCAAGAGAGGGCCGCCCACCAAAACTCACGGACCAGGCAAGAAGGGCATTAATCAGAGAGGCAACAAAGAGACCAAAGATAACCCTGAAGGAGCTGCAAAGATCCACAGCGGAGATTGGAGTATCTGTCCATAGGACCACTTTAAGCCGTACACTCCACAGAGCTGGGCTTTACTGAAGAGTGGCTAGAAAAAAGCCATTGCTTCAAGAAAAAAATAAGCAAACACGTTTGGTGTTTGCCAAAAGGCATGTGTGAGACTCCCCAAATGATGAGACTAAAATTTAGCTTTTTGGCCATCAAGGAAAACGCAATGTCTGGCGCAAACCCAACACCTCTCATCACCCCAAGAACACCATCCTCATAGCAGCATGCTGTGGGGATGTTTTTCATCGGCAGGGACTGGGAAACTGGTCAGAATTAAAGGAATGATGGATGGCGCTAAATACAGGGAAATTATTGAGGGAAACCTGTTTCAGTCTTCCGGAGATTTGAGACTGGGACGGAGGTTCACCTTCCAGCAAGACAATGACCCTAAGCATACTGCTAAAGCAACACTCAAGTGGTTTAAGGGGAAACATTTAAATGTCTTTGAATAGCCTAGTCAAAGGCCAGACCTCAATCCAATTGAGAATCTGTGGTATGACTTAATGATTGCTGTACACCAGCGGAACCCATCCAACTTGAAGGAGCTGGAGCAGTTTTGCCTTAAAGAATGGGAAAAAATCCCAGTGGCTAGATGTGCCAAGCTTATAGAGACATACCCCAAGAGACTTGTAGCTGTAATTGCTGGAAAAGGTGGTTCTACAAAGTATTGACTTTGGGGGGGTCAATAGTTATGCACGCTCAAGTTTTCTGTTTTTTTGTCTTATTTCTTGTTTGTTTCACAATAAAAAATATTTTGCATCTTCAAAGTGGTAGGCATGTTGTGTATATCAAATGATACAACCCCCCACCCCCAATTTGTTTTATTTATTCCAGGTTGTAAGGCAACAAAATAGGAAAAATTCCAAAGGGGGTGAATACTTTCGCAAGCCACTGTACTAAAGGATATATGGACCAACAAGTTGTAGAGGAGACATAAGTACATGATAGTTTGAAAATAGGTTTCCAAAGAACCCTTTGTAAGTATTTTATTGTTTGGAAATTGTTACATAGTGTTACTGCAAAAGACAATTGGTATGTTAGTGATGTTATGTTAAACATCTTATCTGTGGAAGTTACAGGCACATTAATACAGAGCGTATTAAAGACGGTTAACAGCTCGACTTCTACAGTACATGACGCAAACAACATTCACGTCTTCTCTCTCTTTTTCTGCCTCTCAGTCTCTCTCACACACACACACACACAGAGTACACACACATTACAAACAAACCCAAATGTTAACCACAGTAGGAGAGACAATTAGGTGGATTAATAGATAGTTACACATCAACCTTCTATATTATGTGAATGAGATCCATCACCTATATGAGAATGCTCTTACTGTACGTCTCACCATAAACAAGACTGCTTTCCCAACTTCAACACAAATATACAAACAGGACGACATCATGCAGGTCAGGAAACTACCAAGTCTACATCTCTACTGAACATGCCTACAGTATGTTTCCATAAGAAATGACTACAACAACAGATATACTGTAGATGCTGTTAATAAACAATGCTGGATTGTAATCCACAGGCACGGAACAGGTACTTGAGTAGTGGAGAATAACACAGCTACCGCATACACACACGTTTCTCAATCTCTCCAACACAACACAGGGCAAGGCAAAGCGAGGCCGGGCGGCGACCGGCCAATCGCGTGCTGCCTCACCTGGAATCATCACCAAAAGCTCTTCTGATTGGTGGAGCACCGCTTGGCCGTTGTGACCCTTGGCGACCACGCGCACCCTATAGGACAGGCCCCCCTTTAAGCCCTTCAGCACATAGGCCTGAGAGCCATTTACATACTCTTTCTGCCACTCCTCTTCACCTAGAGAGTTGCAGGACGAAAGATGTATGGTGTACATATTAGGACATCTATTGCAGTCAGTCTAAAGGTGTTCATGTCCTAATATGTACACCGTACACTGATATTGTAAGTTGGGATGGGCTTTTGGTGTTCATGCAAAGATGGTTTTTACTTGTGTATCTACTGAAATGCTATATGCAGAGGTGGAGTAATAGAGATAGTATCACATATGGTATCTATATTAGATATTACTACATCTGTACATTTGTATTATGTTATTTCATGGTGTTCTACGAATGAAGTATGGGGATTACAAACATTTGTGGGATGTGTCTCAGTGAACTGGGTTATTAGACTAAATATTACAACGTGACTCTGAATAGGAAACTGAAAAGCCTCTGAAACTACATTATTGGGATTGAACTGATAGGAATGATGCATCATGCTAATTCACTTTCAGAATATTTTCTAGGTACAGGTGTAAGAGAACCATACTCCACACACTGTTTTTTTTACCCTCAGTGCTGGTCAATAAAAAACAACTAACGCTAATTCGAGGTCAATCGACATTGCACATTAAACATTATTTTAGACTGTCTATGCTGCTTTTGACTATGAACCATTTGAATAGGTTTGTGCCAACTGTTTAAAGGCAATATTCTGTATTCTGGCCAATCACACGGAGGATATTTGTATTATCCAATCACAGAAATCAGTTTTTATCATATCTGGGCACGAGGCAAAGTAACAGCAGCCAGCCTCATAACTGCCATGTTTTTATACACCTGCAACAGCCAGTCATTGAGTAGGAGTCTCTTGCCACCTATATGTTTAAGTATAACTGATAGAGGAATATCTCTTACTGTTATCGTTCTCTACTATATATTCTACATAAACATTTTTTTCCGCTCCCAAGTATTCCCAACTGATCAGTGTTCCGTCCTCTCCCACGGAAGAGCTAACGTTCCTGAATGCCGGAGCTGCTGGATGCACTGAGCACAAGAGAGGAAGACAACAATGAAGCTAAATTCAGTCTATTCACCTTCAGATGATGCGTCTATCTATGCACTCACCTATAGCAGAATATTAGCTTGTAATTCAATATTTACATGCATCTATATCACAACATAGAGTCTATAGATCCAAATCAAAGTGAGATAGACTTCGATTTTCCATTCCAGCTTCAATTACTCTAAAGTCGATCAATAACCTTACGGTTCTTCCGTTGTTTATGAGCCGTACAATCAAATTCAAACACTAAAGCCTAAACATTTGCAATACACATTCTATAATACAATGGATGATAACATCAATCCTTGTAAACCATCAATCACAAGAGAAGCAATAATTAGATATACTGCAGTATGACTGGGAATATGACAAGGTCTAGAGCAGCTGTACCCTTGTGGAATGGGAGGTGTGTCGGAGGAGACCGTGCTATGGGAGGTGAGGGTTGGGTGTTCCCTGGAACAACATGGAGAGGAATAAGAAACATCACACAACACCACAGACAAAGACACACAACAGACACACAACAGGCAGAGGTAGACAACACAAACCAAAGGCAAAGATTGGCAGTGAGGTTACACAGGTCCATTGGCATGCAGTGGAAGTATGTTTGAGGGGATCAGTTTGAGCAAGGTTCAAACACGCACAATGTCATGCATGGGACAGGCAGCACTAGCCGGACATAGATATAGACATAGATCAGCAGACACAGGGGGCGAGCTAAAGTCTTCATAACGCAGTTAGAAAATAAGATACAACACAAAACTCTGAAGAGTCTTGAGTCTGTCACATGGCAAAAGGTGTTGCAGCAGCCAAAGATGCATCACATCATATTTTAATGTCTCTATCCAGCTAGAGTGAGCTCTAAAAGTATTCGGACAGTGACACATGTTTTGGTTGTTTTGTCTCTGTACTCCAGCACTTTGGATTGGAAATGGTATCATGTTGGCATCCACATTAATGTTGAAGTGTTTAAAAACATATTATATTCTTATTTACAATAAAATGGACTACCAAAATGGCACAATACATTATTTCCTATTAATTTCTATCGGGCACAAAATAATCTGAAACACAACCAAAACAAACAGCAAATGCATCCAACACATTTGTAGTGTCACGAGCTTGATGTAGATATTTCGTGCTATGAATACAGGACCAAATACTTAACTTTTTACTACTTGAATACACATATACACTACCGGTCAAAAGTTTTAGAACACCTACTCATTCAACAGTTTTTATTTATTTTTACTTTATTTTCTACATTGTAGAATAATAGTGAAGACATCAAAACTATGAAATAACACATATGGAATCATGTAGTAATCACAAAAGTGTTAAACAAATCAAAATATATTTTCAAATAGCCACCCTTTGCCTTGATGACAGCTTTGCACACTCTTGGCATTCTCTCAGCCAGCTTCACCTGGAATGCTTTTCCAACAGTCTTGAAGGAGTTCCCACATATGCTGAGCACTTGTTGGCTGTTTTTCCTTCACTCTGCGGTCCGACTCATCCCAAACCATCTCAATTTGGTTGAGGTCGGGGGATTGTGGAGGCCAGGCAATCTGATGCAGCACTCCATCACTCTCCTTCTTGGTAAAATAGCCCTTACACAGCCTGGAGGTGTGTTGGGTCATTGTCCTGTTGAAAAACAAATGATAGTCCCACTAAGCCCAAACCAGATGGGATGGCTATCGCTGCAGAATTCTGTGGCAGCCATGCTGGTTAAGTGTGCCTTGAATTCAAAATAAATCACAGACAGTGTCACCAGAAAAGTACCCCCACACCATAACACCTCCTCCTCCATGCTTTATGGTGGGAAATACACATGCAGAGATCATCCGTTCACCCACACCGCGTCTCACAAAGACACAGCGGTTGGAACCAAACATTTCCAATTTGGACACCAGACCAAAGGACAAATTCCACCAGTCTATTGTCCAATGTTTCTTGGCCCAAGCAAGTCTCTTCTTCTTATTAGTGTCCTTTAGTAGTAGTTTCTTTGCAGCAAATCGACCATGAAGGCCAGTTGATGTTGAGATGTGTCTGTTACTTGAACTCTGTGAAGCATTTATTTGGGCTGCAATTTCTGAGGCTGGTAACTCTAATGAACTTATCCTCTGCAGCAGAGGTAACTCTGGGTCTTCCATTCCTGTGGCGGTCCTCATGAGAGCCAGTTTCATCATAGCGCTTGATGGTTTTTGCGACTGCACTTGAAAAAACGTTCAGTTCTTGAAATGTTCCGTATTGACTGACCTTCATGTGTTAAAGTAATGATGGACTGTCGTTTCTCTTTGCTAATTTGAGCTGTTCTTGCCATAATATGGACTTGGTCTTTTACCAAATCGTGATATCTTCTGTATACCCCCCCTACCTTGTCACAACACAAGTGATTGGCTTAAACGCATTAAGAAGGAAAGAAATTCCACAAATTAACTTTAAAGAAGGCACACCTGTTAATTGAAATGCATTCCAGGTGATTACCTTATGAAGCTGGTTGAGAGAATGCCAAGAGTGTGCAAAGCTGTCATCAAGGCAAAGGATAGCTATGTGAATAATCTCAAATATAAAATATATTTTGATTTGTTTAACACTTTTTCGGTTACTACATGATTCCATATGTGTTATTTCATAGTTTTGATGTCTTCACTATTATTTTACAATGTAGAAAATAACAAAAACTTTTGACCGGTAGTGTAAGTGAATTTGTCCCAATACTTTTGGTCTCCTAAAATTGGGGGGCTATGTACAAAAAGGGCTGTAATTTCTAAATGGTTCACCCGATACGGGTGGAAATATCCTCAAATTAAAGCTGGGCCAAAACAACAAAAACATGTGTCACTGTCCCAATACTTTTGGGGCTCATTGTATCTTCATGGTTTCAGCTTTCCTGCTAGGTCAAAGGGTCGAGGGGTTTGGTGGATAATATTTCAAAGGGGACGGCATGCTTGGACTGGTCTTTGAAGCCAAGGCCATATACATAAAGCATCTCAGAATATGAGTGTTGATCAGGTTCTTTGTGTCCATAATTCATTATGATGTAAAAGGTAGAACTGATCCTGGTTCAGCACTCCTTCTCAGAGATGCTTTGTTAATAAAGTCCCAGATCAGTATGAGGAGCATCTGTATGAGGGGTATGCACTTTGACAACCGCATCGACTGAGGGCTGATGCATTAGGACTTTGAGAGGGAAAAGGGACACAAAAGGGGAGAAAGTAGAGTTCAACGATCTGACCCCTGAAGTCCCTATATGTATCAGAGAGTGAGTCTCAGAGAGGTCCAAATGAACATGCTGTAATATAAATATAGAGGGTACACAAGGGTAGAGAATGAACCAGCTGTGGATAACAAAGTACAACTGGAACACAGTCATCAATCCACTAGTGTTCTTACAACTACTACACTGAGGTGATATCATGCTTTGGTACGATGCTGTATACTTCATTCACATGCTAACCGGTAAAATTATATTGTACATCCACAAACAACATCCACAAAAACAACTTACAGTACAAAACAGAGTACCATGCATTATAACAATTATAAACTGGGTGGTTCGAGCCCTGAATGCTGATTGGCTGAAAGCCGTGGTATATCAGACCGTATACCATGGGTATGACAAAACAATTTTACTCTTCTAATTACGTTGGTAACCAGTTTATAATAGCAATAAGGCACCTCAGGGGTTTGTGGTATATTACCAATATACCACGGCTAAGGGCTGTATCCAGGCACTCCGCGTAGCGTCATGCATAAGAACAGCCCTTAGCCGTGGTATATTGGCCATACACCACACCCCCTCGGGCCTTATTGCTTAAGTATAAAACACAAAAACACAATCTAGATGTTTTGGGGGATGATAGTCCTGAGTTGACTTGAAGCTTTCAAAATGGTTGACAGGATACCTCATATGAATGGGGTACGCATCGATAGAAACTGACTACAGTTCAGGTTGTTTTCTGCTTGTGACCATCATCAGCGCGTTAACACTTACCTTCATCCATGATAGTGACGGCTTCCTCTGTAATGACAGGCCCTGCTCCCTGGCCTGTTTCGGCATTGAAATAAAACTTGTAACGCGTGCTGTACTTGAGGTTAAGGAGCGTGACAGCGGTCTCGTTGGCTGGCAGGGCCAGCTCCTCCACCGGACCCAGCTCGTTGGAGTTATTGACTGGAAGAGTGGAAGAGGATGGGGCAGGGGTGTAGCAAGATGTGTGGAAGAGGGGGCAGGGGCATAGGTGTAGTAAGAAGGGGCAGGTGGATGGATGGATGGGTGGAAGAGGGGGCAAGGGCATAGGTGTAGCAAGAAGGGGCAGGTGGATGGATGGATGGATGGGTGGAAGAGGGGGCAAGGGCATAGGTGTAGCAAGAAGGGGCAGGTGGATGGATGGATGGATGGATGGGTGGAAGAGGGAGCAAGGGCATAGGTGTAGCAAGAAGGGGCAGGTGGATGGATGGATGGATGGATGGGTGGAAGAGGGGGCAAGGGCATAGGTGTAGCAAGAAGGGGCAGGTGGATGGATGGATGGATGGGTGGAAGAGGGGGCAAGGGCATAGGTGTAGCAAGAAGGGGCAGGTGGATGGATGGATGGATGGATGGGTGGAAGAGGGATCAAGGGCATAGGTGTAGCAAGAAGGGGCAGGTGGATGGATGGATGGATGGATGGATGGGTGGAAGAGGGAGCAAGGGCATAGGTGTAGCAAGATAATACGTGTGGAAAGGTGGAGGGATGGAAGTGACATCAGATTATCCATCAATCGGTGTGGTTCTCACTCTGTCCGCTAATGTCGTTTCTAGCTATCACAGGCTCATCCACTTGGTACACACACTACGTAATAATACCGAATACATATGGTTCTAACAAGACATATAAAGGAGGACATACTGAACAGCAGACATGACTACAAACAACAAATAGAAAAGGTACTCCCTGGCTAAGATAATGCTAACCAGATAACCAACTCCCTCCATCAAAGCTCTGGTAGAACCTCTAGCTCTTGATGCCCACTATTTTATCCCTGATACAACCCTCCTACAGCCAAAACACAAGTAAAAGAGTAATGCTATGTAAGCTCACCTGGCTGATATTTGAGGGTGTAGCCGGTGAGACGTCCGTTGCGGTCGTAGGGAGGGCCCCACTCCAGAGTCAAAGAATCCAGGTTAGGGTTGGTGATCCTCAGGAAAGATGGCCGCCCAGGGACTGCAGAGCATGACAGACACACAGTAAACAACAGCACGTGAGAACTGGCATAGTCACAGAAGGAATATTCACATTCCATTACTAGAGTACGGAATACAAAGCCTATCAGGGTTGGGGTCCATTTTTTTTCAGATTATAATGACATTGACCCTGCTGCTTATCATTATTCCTTTTTCAATTGAATGAATCTTTATTGTCCCCGAATGGTAAATTGTATGCAGCATAAAAGCATAACAACAGACCCATCAACCTTAGCTGAAATGGCCTTGATAAGATACCCTCTATACAAATAGAATAGAAAGCTGGCTCCTCCTACCTCCCTCTGGGGTCTCAAACTGCTGGTTGGAGCTGGCGGGGCCTTCCCCCTTGCCGTTGAAGACCCTGACGTTGAACAGGTAGAGGCTGTAGGGCTGCAGGCCGGGGAGCATGCCATGACTCTTGTTCCCACTGAAGGTCAGGACCTGCTGCTCCACGTGGTGGGGGTTGTGTTTGTGGAGGCTCCGCTCACGCCAGTAATACACCTGGTAGGACACAGAATGAAATACATTCAATGGGGGATGATACAGAGCTGTGTGTGTGTGTGTGTGTGTGTGTGTGTGTGTGTGTGTGTGTGTGTGTGTGTGTGTGTGTGTGTGTGTACCTTGTATCCCTTAAGACGTCCCCGTACTGTTTTAGGAGGGACAGGCTCCCAGTGCACCTCAGCCAGAGTGCTGTTCAACACTAGGACCTGGACACTGTCTGGTGCCTGCACCGGCACTGTGGAAGCAGAGGTCAGAGGGGAGTAGAACACAGTTTAGAGGGAGCAGGACACAATGGAGAGACTTAATTAAACCCACTAGTCTAGTTACAGTAACTAGTTATAGTACAGGTTAAAGGGAGAGATACTTGTAATCATGTAGTCTCTTTCAACAACTTTTAGTTTGGCAAGTCATGCAAACACATACTGTAGCGGGTCAGTTTTCAAGACCAAGATCAAGCCTAGCCCTGGACTAAAAATACATTGCAATAAAGATTTTCCATTGAGCATGCTTTTAGTCCAGGACTAGCCTAGGCTTATTCTGTGTCCAAGAAACTGGCCCATAGTGTCTCCCTAAAATGCAAAGTTGAGTTGTGTGTTACTCACAGTCCTCCCCAGAGTGTCCGGTGACCACAGCTGGCTCAGGTCCAATCCCGTAGTTGTTGATGGCTTGAACCTTGACCTCGTAGGGTGTGAAGGTGGGCGTGCCAGAGACCATGAACTTGGAGACGTTAGCCACGGTCACTGACGTCCAGTCCTTGTCCACGTCCTTCTGTCTCCACATCACCTTATACTGGAGGCCTGGTCCGTTGGCCTGGTGACCTGACATTGGCTGCAGATAGGATGAGAGAACGTTTTTAGCCACATTATAATTACTGAATCCAAAATAATTCATTAGTTAGGCTAAGAGTACTACATGCACCATCACCCTTACATATAAAATGATGGAACAGTAGCTTACCTTCCATGAGATCATAAGGTTGTCATGTTCAGTTCCAAAGCCTTCAACTCCACTGGGGTTCTCATCTGGAGCTAATGGGACAAACAAATTCCAATTAAACAGAATGCCAAATCAACAGTATCAAAGTCAACTAATTATGCAATCAACCACATGAACAAGTAAATCCTACAGTCTGTACCCGCAGGGTTGGTCTTGTACATGCGGGAGGGCAAGGAGGGGTTGGAGAGGCCCACAGCATTGAGGGCCAGGACTCTGAAGGTGTAGTGAACATAAGGAGACAGCTTGAGGTGGGCTGTGGTCTTAGTGCCCGGCACCTCCGTCATGTTGTGCCAGTGGCCATGGTGGTGGAGAGAGTCTGCGTATTGGATCAAAAACTCTGGGGGGGGGGGGGGGGGGGGGAGGAGGTAGAAAAGTGATGAGCTGTTGCAGAGAATGCAAGCCATGTTTTTTACACTCCGATGTTTAGAATGTATTTGGAACGTATTAGCTAACTCCAGTCTTTGGATAGTTTGGATAGTTAACAATCAAATGCAAATAGGCCTAAGCTCTCTGAGCTCACTCATATATTGTATAATTAACAAGAATATCCTGGAAGATACTATCCTGAACCTGCAAATGTTTAAAACACATGAAATCCATCGTTAAAGGCATATGATATGGGTAGTGCTGTGCAAACATAATTGCACATATTGAGATTGACTAGCTATAGTATATTCTCAGGATAATAATGATATAGTCAGCATAGATAGGGTTCTGAGAGTAGGTCAGTAAGGTCATTCACACACGCACACACACACACACACACACACACACACACACACACACACACATACTGTGAATAGGGCTGTTGTGTTCGTCTCCGGGTATCCAGGTGAGCTGGACACTCTTGGACTTCTGGTCTGTCAGCTCCAGGTCAGTAGGAGGGTCTGGTTGTTCTGGAGAAGATACACACAGGAGATGACGAGATAAATAAACTGGGTTTAGAACAGTACATTGGAATGGCACTTTAACTACACCACAGCAACACCAAGACTCCATGTTTTGGATAATGATAAAGCAGCATGCACACTCGAGCTGGATGGAGATGACACATTTCAGAAGGACCCCACTGTGTGACAGGGATGGAGAGGGAGATACATTATCTTGGCATTCAAAGGCACTGGTAATTACTTCACACTCACAACCTAGAAGTTTGAATTGTACTATATTGATCATGTATTCACTCAATACATGCAAAACAACATGAAAGTTCCACATTGAGGGGAGAACAAAAATCTGCAAACTGCAGACAAAAAGACTGAAATCCAAAAGGCCATAAAACATGGTGGTTAAATCAAAATGATAGTCCCTCCGTCCGCCCATCAGTCCGGATGCTGGTGATATTACAAACAAACACAATAGATGATCACATCTGCGAGCAGCAGAGCATGCTTGAGTTTGCAGACCAGACTGACAGATCCCCCACACACACAAGCATGGAAGCATAGCTTAAGCACCCGCTTGTGTGTGATGCTGGTTTACCGTGGACTATAGCTGGAGTAGGAGCTGCCTCTGCCAGGTAGGATGGCAGGTAGGAGTGAAGTAGGGGTTTAGTTGTTAGTGATACAAGACGACAGAGCACCTTCTCTCTCACTGGGTATTATTACACATATAGAATATAATCGTTTTATTTTTCCCAACAACACTAACACATACTCTTAACACAAAATCTGTTATACTTCAAGGAAGGTGAAAACCCAGATCCACTTGTACTTTAAGGAAGGATTCACAATAGTACATGGAGGTGTACGTATGAGAGCGTGAACATACCGACAACAGTGAGCTCAGCGCTAGCAGAGTCCTGGTCCAGAGTAGTGTTCATGATGCAGGTGTACGTTCCTGCATCATTCTCTGTCACGTCGTTTATGGTCAGGCTGTCAGAGTCCACCACAAACCTGAGACGACAGACAATGTCAGTCAGTTTAATGCATCCTCTTGTGTCCTCTTATGTTAGTGTATAACCCTTTTGTTCGGGTTGATTTGTGTGTTTTGTGTATGAAGTCAGGAAGATTAGCCCTGATGGACTAATGGATAAACAAAAATACTGTCACAAGATGAGACATAATGTAAAGCTAGGTTTGACTATTGTAGATATAATTGCATGGTGCTCTATGTTGAAAGATGCGTGTTTGAGGACCACCGACCTCTCGTCGTCGGGTAGTTCTCCGTCGTCTTTGACCCAGGTCATGGTGGGGATGAGGGAGGGGTCGTGTTTTACTTTACACTCAAACACCACGTTTCTGTTCCTCTGCACCACCTTGTACTCCGGCTGCTTCAGGATACGCGTGGGCTCTGAGGGGAGAAGGGGTCAGAAAACTCAGTAAAGGAGAGTGGGGTAAGTTGAGCCAAAGGGCCTCCCTTGTTTCTAGGAAACCATAAACAAAATTAATAATTTGACAAAAATCTTTAGGAAGAGGTCATCATTTCATGGAGTCTGTGATGCAAGGAACCACATGGAAAAAGTGGTCCAAAGTCCCAAAAAACAGATTTTCACCAAGTCGAATTTATTGAGTTACAGGTTTCATGATGCTTGTATTTGAACCAAAGTAGATACTCAAGATTGTTCTATACATCAGTTGTGGTCTCCATAAGCTTCAATACGAGGTCCTAAACCTAGCATGTAAGTGCATCCTTGTAACTGTGTGGGCTAATATAGTCAAAATGTTTGCCTTGGGGTAAGTTGAACCAATTGTTGAGCCAATGGCAAGTTGAGCAAATTGAAGTGTTTTCTTCCCAGGCGTAATTGCAAGGCATTATCGCTGGGATATGAGGTAACAAGATGGCCTGGCCTATGTTAAAAGTGTTTATATAATAATATAATATAAATATAATATAATATAATATAATAATAATATAATATGCCATTTAGCAGACGCTTTTATCCAAAGCGACTTACAGTCATGCGTGCATACATTTTTGTGTGTGGGTGGTCCCGGGGATCGAACCCACTACCTTGGCGTTAAACAAGTACGTTAAACAAGTACAAATGATTAAAATGATTAAAAGACAAAAAAGCAATTGTGATTGTGTTGAATTGTGTTTGGGAAATAAAGATAGACATGGTTTTAAAAAGGTAGTGGTAATAATTAATTCAGTACAGAAATGTGTAAGTGGCTTAACTTACCCTGTCCCGTGGCTCAATTTACCCCATACCCGGGTTAAGTTGTGCCAAGAGACCACTTTTTTTGGACAAACTATGTTTTCAAAACTGCTATATTTTCATGAATTCTGATTATTTCCAGGGATACACAACATCCTGAAATATATGTAGATAACCTATGTTAGAAAGAATACTATATTTCTCTTGATGGAGTAATGCTGAATGTAAAAAATGGCTCAATTTACCCCACTCTCCCCTAAAGGATTAACCAAAGTTTGTTCAGCTGTTATACATCCTTCATAAATTATGTCAGGTAGAGTAAGCAAAATATGAAAAATATTTTCAGCAACTCTTGGAAGTTTGTTTCAGAAAAGCAAAATAACAAAAGCATAGAAACAGACAGAGAGACAGAGACAGAGTGTATTGCAGTAATCCTAGGCTCTCACCTTTGACCTCAAGATAGACGTGGTTCTCAGAGATGCCCAGAGAGTTCCTGGCCACACAAGTGTACTTCCCGCTGTTGAGGGCCTGGGCCACATGTATCTCCAGAGTCCCGTTCTCATGCACCACGTAGGGGTCCCCGTCCAGGGTGCTGGACCTGCTGTCCTTAAACCTGACAGGGGAGAGGGGAGCCACAGGCTATGAGCTTCTAAGCTGGGAACACTGACTGCGTCAGAGATTCTCCACCCTTCTCCCACCTCTGCACTCCCCATCATGATTTAACAACAGTGGAAACTTTGAGAGAAGAGTGGAAAATCTGGACGTAGCCTTCTAAGAGTTCAAAGGGTCATGAACTCACCATGTTATTTTGGGGATGGGCGAGCCGAAGGAGGAACAGTCCAGTAAGGCGTGGTTGTTCCTGATCACCTGGTAGACCTTGTTAGCTGGAGTCAGGACTCTGGGTGTTTCAGCTATAGAGAGACACAACAATGATTATACTTATATTCTGCAAGAGAAATCATGTGACAACAATACTGAGTACTGAGTTCATGCAGTGTAGATCACTTCATGATGCAATCCAATGCAGAGACAGAAAAGTTGTTCTAAGTTCAAGTATGTGTCGACTCACAGAGAACGTTGACGAAGGCATTGGACAGCAGATATCCATATTCATTGGAGGCGTTGCACTGGTAGACTGCACTGGATCCAGTCTGGACTTCCTCGAAGATGATGGTGTCACCCTCCACCTTCCTACTAGGGTCCTTAGGTGAATCTATCAAAGGATCAAAACAAGCGTGAAAAGTTTCATCATAAACCTATATAATTATTCACTTGAACCTTGTCTGAACCTCACATTGGCACACACAATAACGTAATTGCAAGTATTTGGGAAATATACTTTAGTGTCTGTGCACAGTGAGTACACTGTAAGAGACATAGGCAATGCCACTCAATCAATCAATTAATCAATCAATACTGAGTACTCACTTTCCATGGGGATTCCGTTCATGGCCCAGGTGATGGTGGGTTTGGGGGTACCACTGGCCCTGCAGATCAAATTACCCCTCTCTCTGGGGGCCAGCACCAGGTTTCTTGGGTGCACTGATCCAGTACGGGGCCGCTGGGAGGGGAACAGGGGAGCACAAGGCAAGCCGACACCCGGGTTATTGATTACCTCACATCACAAAGGGTCAGCAAAAATGGCACAGTGAACAATATTCAAAGGCAGGCAACCGGTTAATGACTGAACCCCCTGCTCCGGATACCACCATTTAAAAATCAATAAGGGAGATAGATCGGCAGCGTAAAAGCCCAGAAGGCAGCTGTGCGTTCCCAACCCATTTCAGCCCTGCTCGTCACTGACCGTTGTTTTGTGGTGTTATTGAACAGGACAGTGATAGGCAGATAGGAAAAGTAGGAGGAGGGCAAGTCAGAAGAGCAGTGGGTTGAATTCTAACCCATGACCACTCTGCTATAGGCTACATGTGTGCCAGCCAGTCAGTGGCATTAACTGGCAAGTCACATGACAAACCTTTGACGGTGACGCGGATGGCGTGGTGTACGGAAGCCAGGTGGTTGCGGGCGGTGCAGCGGTACTCTCCGGCATCCGCCTCAGACACGTCAACAATACGCAGTGTCTTCTGGAAGTGCAGGAAGGAGGTCCGCTTGGCAGGGAAACTCCCCCGCTCACCTTAATCCACGAGACCTCTGGAGTGGGTCGGAGGGGGGGGGTGAATGGGAGGGAGGGAGGGAGGGAGGGAGGAGGGAGGAGTTGAGGAGGAGAAAAGAGGAGAGAGCGAGAGAGAAGAGATAGAGAAGATAGAGAGAGAGAGAAAACACACATAAGAAGTTTTCAGTGAACTTCTCCCTCCCCTCCTTTGCCTCACGCTCAAGTCGCCGTGCATGGACTCTCCACTAGGTTCCCGTCCCAACGCTTCCCACAGTTGTGTCAAGTTGGCTGGATGTCCTATGGGTGGTGAACCATTCTTGATACACACAGGAAACTATTGAGCGTGAAAAACCCAGCAGCGTTGCAGTTCTTGACACAAACCGCTGCGCCTGGCACCTACTACCATACCCAGTACAAAGGCACATAAATATTTTGTCTTGAATGGCACACATACACAATCAATGTCTCAATTTTCTCGAGGCTTAAAAATCCTTCTTTAACCTGTCTCCTCCCTTTCATCTACACTGATTGAAGTGGATCTAAGAAGTGACATCAATAAGGGATCATAGCTTTTACCTGGATTCACCAGGTCAGTCTATGTCATGGAAAGAGCATAATGTTTTGTAAGCACACATACAAAATGGTATATTTCATTAATAATAGAGGTATATACAATACATAATACAGGTAAAACAAATTGACATTTTCTCAATGACACTGTGTCCTTACAGTCCCTCAGCGATACACTCCAACTCCAGGACCTGTCCTCTCAGCACAATCTTGGAGCTGCTGGAGCCAGATGGGATCATGAAGGTGGGTCTCCTCTCCTCCGCCGAGCCATCTGCAGTCACAATGGAGGGGTCAAAGACACCATTAGTCACAACAAGACTTCTACTGTTCTATGTATTCTATTTCTATGGTTCTTCTACCACAGTCAGTGCTGTACCACTATGGAGGACCAGGTCAGGGCTCACACACTTAAACACTGCAATTTACTTTTAAAGGTGATTTCTGTTTGAGCAGGGTTTTTTAGTGAACGTGATCTCTGCAAGCGTATACGAAATTGCCTTTAATTAAAAGTCTATCGCTGTGTGCAGGTACTAAATCTGTGTTGGATTGAATCCTTGCCTTCATCACTTACTGTAAAGGTGGTCTTTGGTCGAGGTGTACGAAGAGGCGGTATACATTTCTAGATCTTGTATTTTCCTATGCAGTTATAACAGTAAACTACTTTCTAGTAGTGTAAGATAATGTGAGGATAACAAATACTTTGAGGATAATCAAAAGGATTATTGGTGGTTAAGATTTCCTGAGTTCAACAAATTGCGCTTGTGATTGTGGCAATGATGACACGTAGACATTAATTGAGGTACATGCAAGCATTTCTTTGAGAATTGACTCTCTCCGATTGGCTTTTACGTAGCCTCCTGACAAAATCACTGACTACAAAATCACATTTCTCATCGTCAGGGTACCAGACAGACAGACACACAGGAAGTGATGCTTTTACAAACAATGAGAAATGAACTGATAGGAAATGAAAGATGGGAAGAAAGAATTAGGTTGGCTGGGAGAAAAGAATCAAATAACAAACTGTGGTGTTGGTAGTGGTTGGACCATTCACAGTTTGCAAAGCTGTCAATCTACTTTGCTCTAATGAAATATAAAGCTTTTCAAAAGTAGTCTACTGAATAGAATACATCATGTTATTTGTCCATTTACAAGATAACACTACATGACCAGAAGTATGTGGACACCTGCTCGTCGAACACCTCATTCCAAAATCAAGGGCATTAATATGGAGTTGGTCCCCCCTTTGCTGCTATAACAGCCTCCACTCTTCTGGGAAGGCTTTCCACTAGATGTTGGAACATTGCTGAGGGACATGCTTCCATTCAGCCACAAGAGCATTAGTGAAGTCGGGCAATGATGTTGGGCGATTAGGCCTGGCTCGCAGTCGGCGTTCCAATTCATCCCAAAGGTGTTGAAAATGTATGCACTCACTAACTGTATGTCGCTCTGGATAAGAGCGTCTGCTAAATGACAAAAATGTAAATGTGTTCAATGGGGTTGAGGTCAGGGCTCTGTGTAGGTCAGTCAAGCTTTCCACACCGATCTCGACAAACCATTTCTGTATGGACCTCGCGTTGTGCACGGGGGCATTGTCATGCTGAAACAGGAAAGCGCCTTCCCCAAACTGTTGCCACAAAGTTGGAAGCACAGAATCGTCTAGAATGTCAACTGAGCTACAGATCCCCTGTAGCTCAGTTGGTAGAGCATGGCGCTTGCAACGCCAGGGTTGTGGGTTCGTTTCCCACGGGGGGCCAATATGAAAAATGTATGCACTCACTAACTGTAAGTCGCTCTGGATAAGAGCATCTGCTAAACGCCTAAAATTTAAAAAATTTAAATTATATGCTGTAGCGTTAAGATTTCCCTTCACTAGAACTAAGGGGCCTAGCCTGAACCATGAAAAACAACCCCAGACCATTATTCCTCCTCCACCAAACTTTACAGATGGCACTATGCATTGGGGCAGGTAGTGTTCTCCTGGTATCCGCCAAACCCAGATTTGTCCGTCGGACTGCCAGATTGTGAAGCGTGATTCATCACTCCAGAGAACGTGTTTCCACTGCTCCAGAGTCCAATGGCGGCCATGGAAACCCATTTAATGTAGGTCCCGACTAACAGTTCTTGTGTTGACGTTGCTTCCAAAGGTAGTTTGAAACTCGGTAGTGAGAATTGCAATTGAGGACAGATGATTTTTACGCGCTTCAGCACTCGGCGGTCCCGTTCTGTGAGCTTGTGTGGCCTACCACTTCGCGGCTAAGCAGTTGTTGCTCCTAGAAGTTTCCACTTCCCAATAACAGCACTTACAGTTGACCAGGGCAGCTCTATCAGGGCACAAATTTGACAAACTGACTTGTCGGAAAGGTGACATCCAATGACGGTGCCACGTTGAAAGTCACTGAGCTCTTCAGTACAGGCCATTCTACTGCCAATGTTTGTCTATGGAGATTGCTTGGCTGTGTGTTCGATTTTATACACCTGTCAGCAATGGGTGTGGCTGAAATAGCTGAATCCACACATTTGTTTGTGACGCCAGGGTTGTGGGTTCGATTCTCACGGGGGGCCAATATGAAAAATGTATGCATTCACTAACTGTAAGTCGCTCTGGATAAGAGTGTCTGCTAAATGACTAAAATGTAAATTTGAAAGGGTGTCTACATACTTTTGGCCATGTCGTGTATGAGCAAGGCAAAGGAAGAACCATCATGCAATGGTTAAGCATTTGAAATTATGTTAATAAATAGTTGTTATAGAAAACAATGTAGTCTCTCACAAAATGTTATTCATTCGACAAGTTAGGATCAGAAGTTGGGACACGGTTATGGGTTGAATGTTAGTGGTTTGAGTTCTAGTACTGGTTTACTACTATGGGAGAGGGTATCACTAGGCTAAAGGGTTGATGCTAGTTATGTGCTTGATTGCTAATATTGCTAAGGTAGGGACAAATCACTAGGGAAAAGGTTAAGGAGTTACTGTAATGTTAGAGGTTGGTATTGAGTTGATTGACGACTATGGGAGGAGGACGACCACTAGGGGGTACCAAAACTCACCACTAAATAAATCAGTTTCATTGTATAAAGCAGCAACAGTCTCATTGATTGCATCCACTGTAACACAACAAAAAATAATCAAACATGCCACATGTTGAAATCAAGTGATATAAAAAAGCAATAAAGTGATTGGACAAAATAATCATAAATGCTTGAATCTAAAATCAAACCATGTGAACTGAACAAAATGCTGAATGCTGATCATAGATATAGAGTATAGATGGTCATCAAATCTTGTCTGTGAATCTGCATAGTCTGGACAATTTGGCATCATAACAATCCGTCAGCGGTAAATGCTAGACTGTATGAGAAGGCCTTTTGTTGTTGAGAGAGTGTTCACTATAGCTGTGAAAGCAAAGGCCTTACAAAATCAGTTAACTTAGTGGTGGGGCTACATTGCACATCATGCAGAAAATGAGATATAAGGTCTTTGACAATGTGTCTTTTCATCATGGTGACTACTAGACTACTACTGGCGACGCTGAGGTTGGGATCAGAGATAGGAAACACAGTTTCCCTCCTACGCAAACTGACTCACACATTCAATGCACAAGCACATTCACACCCACCCACAAGAACACACACACTCTTACGGTTGAGCACTCTGACGGTGATGGGTTGTTTCTGCTGGATGGTCTGTGTGTGAGGGAAGCGGGCGTAACATATGTAATCGTTCCTCGAGTCCTCCTTCAGGACGTTGGAGAAGTGCAGGTCTCCGTTCAACGCCTGGGACACGCGGCTGCTCTGAGGCAGTCTCTGGAAGTCTAAGGGAGGAGGGGAGAGATGTGTTTAAGGCCTGGGATATCCTACTGATCTGAGTCAGTCTCTGGGAGACTGGGGAAGAGTGGCAATTAGGAGGAATGTCAGTGAGCAACAATTTTGAGGCTTTAGTTAATGTCTCATTTCATTTAATCAATTACAAGCAAAGAACCCAGACAGAAACAGGACAGACTATCTAAGATTTCCCCATTCAGAAACAGGGGTGTTTGCAAAAAATATATAAAAAATCCAGCGATTTCTCCCTCTCTATGTACTGTATGTAGCAAACAGGCCCTAGACATAACAAATAGCAATGCAACTTACTGTTGTCCATCCAGAAGATGATGGGAAGGGGCAGGCCTGCAGGGGGCCGACACTGTAGCACCAGAGACACGCCCTCCTGAACGATGATTGGCTTGTTTCTTTCTTTCGACCACAAGGGGGACCCTGAAGAGGTGGAGGGGAACATACCTCATTAGTTAGATAGCCCAAATACACATGAGGAAAATATGGTATAGTGTACCTGTATGTGGTTTCTACATTCATTGAATGTCACCAAAAGGACTGAGAGAATAAGAGGGCATGGAAGTAGTGAGTTCTGGCTACATGGAAGGAATGAGTTCTAGCTACATGGAAGGAATGAGTTCTAGCTACTAAATTGCATCAAGCTAGAGGTAAACACAAAGGAAGGTGAAATAGGTGTATCCAGGTAATTATTAGCATGCTGTCTTCCCACATGTTACCTTTACCTTCCATGAAGAGCGCATTGATGATGGAAAATACATCTTATTAGTTTCAAGAAAAGAGAGAAAAGAAAGATTGAATGGTCACAAATCAGAGACACGTCAGAGATGAGCTCAGTGGAGAATAGAGTGAGACAGACATGACTTGATATGAGATGACTGAGAGGTGAATGTCGGAGAGACAGAGTGGTGAAAGGCCCAGCGTAGGAATGAGAGAGGGAGAGAGGGAGAAAATGAGAGAGGGAGAGAGAGAGAGAGAGAGAGAGAGAGAGAGAGAGAGAGAGAGAGAGAGAGAGGGAGAGAGAAAGAGAGAGGGAGAGAAAATGAGAGAGGGAGAAAGAGAGAGAGACAGAGAGAGAGAAGAGAAAGAAAGACAGAAATGACAGCGAAAAGGTCAAAGAGATAACACATTTTAGAGATGCTTACTGGACTGTCTGATGACGATATTGTTTGATACTGCAGTCCCATGTTCGTTCCTGGCCGTACACTGGTACACCCCCTCATATGACTCAGCCTTCTCTCCACTGATATCCACCACCAGGGTGCCAGAGTGGGGTCGCATTGTAACCTTGGGGTCCTGGTCAATGTCAAAGTGGGTCCCGTTCCTGGTCCACGAAAAGCTGTAAGTGGATTATTGTCAATGTTAGTGAACATCCAAATCATTTTAACTGTCATCACAGTACATTTTCATATTTTATATAGCTAATCAATATAACTGTTCGGGATTTAGCCAACTACAAGTGTGGTGTAACAATTGGCTGTGTGTGTGCGTGTGCGTGTGGACGTGCGTATGAGTGTGTGTGTGTGTACCTGGGATGCGGCTTCCCCTTGGCATCACAGTGGATGACAATGTTCTCCCGAGGGTCGATGATGTAATCCTTGGGAGACTGGTGAGTTATGGTTGGCGGCTGCGGCACTACGGCAAGCACAGAGGGACACAGTCAAATCAATCACTGGCCTTTCTGCATAACTAAGCTGTTTTCTACTGTTATTGATCAAGCACACAGCGAGCACGGCTGGACCGGCTCACTACACTAAAATCGAATCAGGCTAAATTGCTGACCATACCAGTAAGATAAAATAACCAGAGTTGAATGGAGGGAACATAAAAGCATGCAGTGGACTGAAGTACAGTCCTGGATATTCTGCTTCATAATCATCTTTCTTTATATGTATTTCTATCCGAAGGAACAGAAGATGGATTTACTATTTTAAATAACTGATATGAGAAATCATGCTTTATGTGTTCTACGGGACAGGACATTTTCCTACTGAATCACAGCAAAACCACACCAAAGCATCAAACAAATCAACAACAACAAGAGCATTGCATGCAAGTCAGACCAATGCTCAAATCCACTCAAATCCACACGGATAAGCACAAAACCAAAAGCAACTATAAAAGAAAACCCCAAATGCACGACAAAGTGCTCAAGTCACAGTCTCTGTGGTCACACTGAATTCCCACATGCATGGTGACAGGGGAACTTAACTTACATCCTTCCAGAACTTTTGCTTTTCCCCCAAGAATCAGCATACATTTTTTACATAATAAAGAGAGCCAGACATTAGTGGTGAAAAAATTATCCCCTCAGTTACTCCCCTTCAGAACATGGTGGACAGAAGGCGGGTTAGTTTCCTTTTCCAGGCATGAGACAGCTTCCAATACGGTCAATGATTCCAAACATTACTCACACAACATACAGTAGTTATATTTCCACATTATGACTAAGCACTTAAAATGACAAGAAAACCTACTCTTCTTACTCAGCAAAGCTATAAAAATGTATTGAGGCAACAAGGTATGTGTTCATTAGAAAACCAAATAGCCACATTTACAAAAGCCTTGGATCAATAAAGCATTTTATTCTCACAACCTCTTACTGACTCCTCTTACAGACTCTGTATCCATATCAATACAACTTTGACTTTGAGAGACAGCGAGAAAGAGAGAGGCCAAAGGAGAGAGAGAGAATGGCAGAGGGAGAGAGAGAGAGAGAGAGAGAGAGAGAGAGAGAGAGAGAGAGAGAGAGAGAGAGAGAGAGAGAGAGAGAGAGAGAGAGAGAGAGAGAGACAAGAGACAGAGAGAAGAGAGAGAGAGAGAGAGAGAGAGAGAGAGAGAGAGAGAGAGAGAGAGAGAGGAAACTACTTTGCTAGACTATGATGTGTTAAGTTCTTACAGTCTATTGGGAGCCAACAGTATGACTATTTAGAGGTTATTTCAACCTCTTCCAGACTCCATAGCAATATAACTTTGACTTTGCTTGCATGTTCTTGACTGTGATATGTTAATAGTTCTTACGGTCTAGTGGGACCTCCAGAGCGTTGCCAAGGTGACCCAGGAACAGCATCAGGAACACTGTTGCTCCCGCCCTCGTCCTCTCCATGATTGATTGTCTGACGCAAAGGTCCTCCCCCCAGACAGAGATAAGTCCCGCCTCTCTCCTCAATCAGAATGCCTCGGCCACGTGCACATTCACAACTAGAGAGAGAGAATGAGAGAAAGAGAGAGAGAGAGAGGGACATAGATAAACATAGAGAGAGAGTGGCAGAGACGGAGAGAGAGAGACACAGAGACACAGAGAGAAAGAGACAGAGAGGCAGAGAGAGAGAGAGAGAGAGAGAGAGAGAGAGAGAGAGAGAGAGAGAGAGATACAAAAATAGAAGGGGGGAGGGAACATATAGAAACATACATTATTGCGATGAAAACCAAATCCAGTATGCATGGTTGTAAAACAATCATGAATGTGAGACTGTGACACATTTCAGATTTACAGTTATATCAGTATGTGAATGAGAAAGTCACAATTCACTCTAGAGAGACAGATATAGATGGCTGTTGCTGTGACTGTGGATCGATGGCCGTTGCCATGCAGATGGAGATGGACTTGGCTGGGAGGCTAGGAGCTATCGTTTTGATCTAGATGTGTGTGTGTGTGTGTGTATGTGTGTGTGTCTTGTGATGTAGTGCACTGGGATAGCGAGCGACATGACCCATATGGCTTCATTTAGCTCAGATAGTCAGATACAGTACCATTAGGCACGTGCCATATCGATTACATCAACCATCAACATCAGACGACATCCTGCCAGTGGACAGACACTCTCTGCTCTCCTCTTTTCTCACTATCTGTCTATCTGTCTAGCTGACTGACTGAAATGAGGTCACTCACAGAACACTGGTAGCCGCTGGTCTCAACCCCCCCCCCCCCCCCCCCCCCCGTAACCCTTTGATGTTTGCAGATCTGAAGGGTCTGGATAAGTGGAAGCAGTTTTGTGGTAGAGCTTTCACCATTTTGCTTACAGATCTATTAACATCGAAGGTTTAGGGCCAAGGAAGAACAGGAAGCAAATTTGGACATTACTGACCACCAGGCATCAGTAGTGAGAGGGGCTGTGATGCTCAGTAGAACAGTCAGATTTCTGTGATGCTCTCAGTTTGTAAGGCACCACTGTATGGATGTTTTTACCTACAGGTTCAACTTCACTGAAGGTGATGGGATTGCCCCCAATGATATAAATATGTTTGTGAATTGATTGACTAAGTGTTAATTGTGTCAGGTTTTGTCATTATGCAAGGTAACCTGAGAGTCATGAGCCATCCTTCCAATATATACTGAACAAAAATATAAACGCAACATGTAACAATTTCAACGATTTTAATGACTTACAGTTCATATAAGGAAATCAGTCAATTGAAATAAATGTATTAGGCCCTCATCTATGGAATTCACATGACTGAGCCATGGGTGGGTCTGGGAGGGCATAGGCCCACCCACTTGGGAGCCAGGAACACCCACTGGGGAGCCAGGCCCAGCCAATCAGAATGAGTTTTTCCCCACAAAGGGCTTTATTACAGACTCAGTTTCATCAGCTGTCCGGGTGGCTGGTCTCAGACGATCCCGCAGGTGAAGAAGCCGGATGTGGAGGTCCTGGGCTGGCGTGGTTACACTTGGTCTGCGTTTGTGAGGCCGGTTGGACATACTGCCAAATTCTCTAAAACAACGTTGGAGGCGGCTTATGGTAGAGACATTAACATTAAATTCTCTGGCAACAGCTCTGGTGGACATTCCTGCAGTCAGCATGTCAATTGCACGCTCCCTGAAAACTTGAGACATCTGTGGCATTGTGTTGTGTGACAAAACTGCACCTTTTAGAGTGGCCTTTTATTGTCCCCAGCACAAGGTGCACCTGGGTAATGATCATGCTGTTTAATCCGCTTCTTGATATACCACACCTGTCAGGTGTATGAATTATCTTGGCAAAGGATAAATGCTCACTAACAGCGATGTAAACAAATTTGTGCACAAAAATTGAGAGAAATAAGCTTTTTGTGCATATGGACAATTTCTGGGATCTTTTATTTCAGCTCATGAAACATGGGACCAACACTTTAATGTTGCGTTTATATTTTTGTTAAGTATAGATTGGGGTTGAATAATATTAAAGGGGCAATCTGCGATAGGTTCTGCTGTAACTATTAGCTGTCCCTCAGCTTTATAGCAAAAAAGTGGCAGGGCTGCTGTTTGCCTGAAAAAAATAATTACAGATTGTGTCTTTAAGTACAATGTAAAGTTACATGAAGATATGGAGCTGAAAATCACATGTTTCAGGATGAAGGGATTCTGCTGTTGCCAGGCAGCTTAACAATGTAATTATGCCACTATCCAACCGGGAGAGAGAGAGAAGAAAGAAAGAAAGAAAGAAAGAAAGAAAGAAAGAAAGAAAGAAAGAAAGAAAGAAAGAAAGAAAGAAAGAAAGAAAGAAAGAAAGAAAGAAAGAAAGAAAGAAAGAAAGAAAGAAAGAAAGAAAGAAAGAAAGAAAGAAAGAAAGAAAGAAAGATGGAGAGAGAAAGAAAGAAAGAAAGAGACAGCGAGAGACAGACTGAGACAGACAGCGAGAGAGAGCGAGAGAGAGAGAGAGCGCGAGAGAGAGAGCATTGCCAAAGCAAAAAGGGAACAATTGCCAAGATGACTCGGAATAGGAGAATAGGCTTAACAGTGCTCAGTTCCTGTACTGACAATCAAGGATTCTTCTAAATACCAGGCTCTTTCTCTTTCGTAAGCTTGGTAGAATTATTCACTCACTATTAAGAAGTGCTTTATTTAAAGAGAATATCCTTGCATCTTAGTGATTGTTACATAATTCAACAGTTGCAACAGTACCCCAAATCATGAAAATAGTCTAGATACATTTGGTACGCATGCATACCTTACGGAAGAGAGTGAGACATTTTTGTGAATCAGAAATTGGAGTATGACCTGTTTTTCTCCTGCTGCCTTCTTGCCATCCTCCTCCTAAGGCGCCCCAGTGTGTGTCCCACTAAAGGTATAGAAATGGCACAGCTATCTTCTCAGCCCAGGCACAATAAAGAAGACTGCTCTGCTCTGTTATCTCAGCCTATGATATTTGATTTGGGATTTTATAGGTGTGTTACTCAATAAAGGAATGATATAGTCCAATGAAACCAGCCCTGTTTCCGTCTGTCTTCATCTCCATCTTCCTGCCCCCATGGCCGTAGGGTGAGTCAGGGGCCAGGACTGGGGGAGTCTGGTAGTGAGGCCCCTGGGGGCTCAGCCTCAGCAGTACTATCCCCTTTTCACACAATTGCTCTGATATTTTCATTTCACATGGTCCTTTCCAGCACGGTTCCAGCAACTATGGCGGATGCTTAACCAGGCCAGCTCTTTAGGCTACAGCTCGGCTTGGCTTTGCTTGACTCAGTAGTGGGAAATGGAATCCATCCCTACTGCTCCTCAGGGAGCTGATGTATTGGTTGGTGCTGGAGTGATAAATGCAGGGCTAGCCCCAGCCCCCAGCCCTGAGCCAATGGCTGGTGCCTGATAGCGTAACGCCGTAGCTAGCGGGAGGAAGATGAAGGAAAGAGGAGAGTAGGGTTAATGTCTTCTACATGGCCCTAGCCGCTGCTCCCCAGGGAAACCCTGTATTACTCGCCTAGGGCAGCCAATCACGGGGCTGTGTACACCGGCCGACACAACAAGATCCATGGGAGCAATTTCATCAAGCTCATTTGTGATTGCTAGGGCCAGGAGGCTAGGAGCACTGGACCTGAGCCTGAGAGGGGAGTCTGTAGCAGAAACACAGCCTTTATATCAAGCTACAAAGTGGATATATGCTCAGTCTCAAATTATTGTAGTAAGGTGCTGAATCCTCCTAATAAAGTTCGCAATGAAAGAGACTGGACAACATACCAGCGTGTGCAGAACAGATCGTTTACTGTAAAATCCATTGAATCGTACGGTTATATGCTAAATTGGTTCACAGCGATCATAAGGTATTGTCAGCACAATCTTTATTACCATGACAACTAAAGAGATGTTATAAACACCACATTGCGGTGGCCACTTTATATATTTAAAGCCGTGAAAAGTAGCATGAACTGGCTGATTTATAGTATCTAATGAAAAAGGGGGACAGAATATGACAGGTCAGGATGAGGGAGAGAATCAATGTGTTAATTATAATTTGATGTGGAATCCCAAAGCCCCCTGGATTCTTATTTGAGAGGGAGCCATTGCTC